CGGGAGGGGACACGGGGCGGGCGGGGGGTGACTCAGCGCGGGGGGGTCGCAGGCCGTGACCGCCCCCGCGCCGCCCCGCAGGCCCCGCCGCGCCGATGCTCGACCTGGAGGTGGTGCCCGAGCGCTCGCTGGGCAACGAGCAATGGGAGTTCACGCTCGGTGAGTGCCGCGGGCCGGGGGGGCCCCGCCGCCGCCCCCCGCGCTCCCCTTCCCGCCGCTCCTGGCTCCTCCCGGCGCCGTGGCGGCTCTCGTCCTCCTGCCCCGAGCGCTCCCGCCCGTGGCCCCGCTGCCCCGTGGTGCCGGTGCCGCCATCGCCCCCTCGGGCTCCCCGCTTTGGATCCCGCTGGAAGGCGCTCCCCTCTCCCCGTGCATCCCGCTGTGCAGGGAGGAGGAAGCCGGACTCGTTCCAGGTGCGGATCCGGCTGCTGCCCGGCCCGAGGCTCGGGAACAGGGAGCTGGGCTTTGGATGGCGGCGCCTCCCCCCGCCGCTGCTCCTCCGGCCTTTGGGAAGCCCCTGCGCCCGCACGGCCCCTCCAGCTCCCGGCACCGGTGGTCGCAGCCCTCCCCGTGGCCGCCGCTCCGCCTGGGAGACGCTGGACSGGGTGGCCCCGGCGCCCTGCTCCTGCTGGTGCCCACGGCGGGAAACGCGCCCGGGACCGGGCTCCCCGTGAAAGCCGCCCGGTGGCCGCCTGCACCCGGCCGTAAGGGCAGCGCTGGAAGGGCCTAGGGGGGCTAGTTGTAGCACCCCAGCCACCACCCGCCAAAATCCCGGAGCTCTCCCCGTGCTGGTGCACCCCCAACTCCGCCTGACCTCCCGGGAGCCTTTACTATTGCCCAGAGCCCCATGCCTTCCCCCGGTGATAAACATGTAGCACCCTCCTCTGCTCTTATAAAAACCACGAGATGGTTTTTCATCCTAAGAGCCTCGTCAGTGCAGCCTCCCGCCTCGCATTCCGCCCCGCGCGCCTCCGCGGGGATGTGCACGAGGAAGCCGGGCGGCAAGTCCCGGCGTAAACAGAGCCGCCACGTGACGCGGCCCGGGTATAATTAGCCTGACCTGCTTGCGGAGCCGGCGGAGCCCTCCGGTGCTGCAGCCCGGCCCGGGCGGCCACTCCGGGAGCCCCGGAGCCGCCGCCGTGGAGCGGGCGGCGGGGAAATGCCAGAGAAATTTTATACGTGAGTTTCTGGGTTCTGTTTCTGGCTCCAGCTTTGACTCGCGCTCTGTGAGCAGAGCATAGAAAATTTAACCCAGGCCGAGCTTTGTGTTCAGACACCTGTGTTGCCGTTTTCGGACAGCTCTAATCCTGCAGTTTTAAAGAGGGAGAACAATTAAAAACTCATTCTGCGCTGCCTGTGGCTGTGTTGTTAAGAGACGCAGTTACGGTTCCCAAGACACATTTACATTCCTCTTG